CTCTCCCATTGCTTTTTAGTCAATAATCAATAAACATTTATTAAGCGCCTATTATATGTCAGGCACTATGCTAAGTGCTAGGAATACAAATAAGAAAAAGAGCGCCTGCCCTCAAGGAGCTTACAATCTAACAGGGGAAGGCAATTCATAAAAGGAAGCTGAAGAGGGTACCTGGACATCTGAGGAGTCAAAACCAAGTAGAGAAGCTAGTGGGAAACAAAGAGATGGCTGGGATTTCTAAGCCCTCTATAAAGGAAGGCTTTGAGAGCAGGTTTCTGCCCTGTCCTCCAGCCTTCCAATAGGGGAGGAAGCGTTGAGCATCAAAGCTGCAGCAATCTCCAAGAGGAAGAGGTTTCTAGTGATGAGCTGATCCCGGGGCAAGCTGGCTGAGAAATGAGGGGAGAGCCGCAACACACAGACCCGTCAGAGAGGAGCCTGGCTCCCGCCCAGAGTGACGGGGCCAGCATATGGAAGAGGTGGGTCTGAAGTGCATATACACCGTTATGTATCACAGCATGCATCATCTCTTCCAATTTGACTGTAAGCTCCGTGAGGGCAAGGATCCTGTCTCTGTCAACGCTCTGTCTCCTGTCAGGGTCTCAAACAGTAGCGACCAGCTACTGCTCAGAAGAAACTGGACAGTTTATTTGCTGCTTATTATCCCCAGCACTGTCCCCTTGGCTTTTCAGCTCCCTTTTATGGGTTGTATTGATTACCCCATTAGAATAGAAGCTCCTTGAGGGCAGGGATTTGTTTTTTATTTTATTTTTACTTCTACTTATATTTTCAGCACTTAGCTCAGTGCATGAAACATAATAAACAAATTAATAAATGCTAGTTGACTTGCCTTGTCTTTCTCCCCCCTCCATTCCTCTGGACATCAGCTTATTTTAGTCAACCCAAGTGTCTTCATTCTCCCAGCAATGTGCCAACCTCATGTCTACATGTGGGCTTCCACATGCCAATGGAGTGTTTACCCCTCACAACCTCTTGGGGACCCACAGAAGAGGGTAGGAGGTGGTTAGCCAAAGTACCCTCTCATGATTACTATAGAAAGTCAGTTCTCATGAGCCTAAGAACTCATCTACCTCCATAACTGCCTGCCCCCAGAGGGTGCTTGACTGGCTTTTAAGAAATCCTTTTTTTCCTACCAGCTGCCGGCACAACTCAGTTTGACACACAAATGCTTAGAGAGGCTTCCCAGGCCCTGCCACCACCCTCGCCCCCTCACAGAAGAGACATCAAAACCCCAGCACACAAGAAGCCAGAGTGGGTGTTGAGCCCACGTTTCCAAAGGTTTCCCCAACACTGCAACCATGAGTTTGAACAATGCATGAATGGTCTTAAGAGGTAAAGACCATCTAGTTTTCTTTTCTGCTTAATTAACACATACACTGAGGGGTGAAAGCAACACGGTAGACTTCTCTGGCTGCCTCTGAGAAGGTCAGTCTGCTTGAGTCCCACCAGGAGGCAAAGGCAGAGGAGTCAACAAGGCTGAGGGCATGGGCATCACCAGAAAAGTGTGCAGGCCACTGAAGGGATGTATGTGTGTGTGTGTGTGTCTGGGTGTGGGTGCAACATGACCCATTAATCTGGGCACCTCCACCACCGTCACAGTGCAATATAAAGGTAATAATAGCTAGTTTATACAGAGCTTTACAGTCTTCAGAGGGCTTTACATGATATCTCATTTGAACTTTCCAAGAACCCTGAGAGGTAGCTACCATTCTTATCTGCACTTATATACAGATGAGCAAACTGAGGCAGATGATATGAACTGACTTGTCCAGGGTCGCACAGCTAGTAAGGTGTCTGAGGCAGGATTTGAACTCAGTTCTGCCTGACTCCAGATCCAGGTTTCTATCCACTGCACTCTCTAGCTATATTAAAGGAACAGAGAGAGAGGGAATCAGACACCTGGGATCATGAGACACTGCCTATATACCTGGAAGGAACCTCATAGGTAGGTCATATAGGTCATTTGCCTGGGAAAAATGGGGTGGGGAGTTTGAAGGTGCATAATTGTGCTCAGAACTGCCCTCCATCCTAGCCCACAGGTCATCTGAGCTTTATAGTGCCTCAATCTGAACTACACTGCTCAGAAATGCCTTACAGGCCCCTTCATGACAGTGGGTAAGAGTGAGTAAGTGAGTGAGAGTGTGTGTGTGAGTGTGTGTGTGTGTGTGTGTGTGTGTGTGTGTACACAGCCACCCACCCATGAACACACGCCCTATTAATCCTAGTGCGCGTGTGGGGAATTAATGTGACTTCTCTGTGAGGGGGTGCAGCGCCTGTCTATCTCAGGGAATAAGACTCCACTCTGGAACAGAATTCTAAAATAATCTAATTTGTTCTTAAAATCCAAATTAGGAATGATTATTTAAAGAAATTCCCCAACTAAGACCCTGGTGAACAAAATTTCAAAACCCTCACCAGGCTAGTTTTGTGCTATAAATCGACTTTTAGAGGTGAGGTACCATAACATGGGGACTAGGGGGAGAGGGCAGGGGCAGGCTGGAAGGTCTTGAAGACCCCTCCCATTTACATAACTATAACCAGAGGGACAGTGCTGCCTAGTGGACGGAGAGCCAGCATTACAGTCACAAAGACCTGGGTTCAAGCCCTAATGACTGTGGGACAGAAAAGCCCCCACGTGTCAGAAGACTTCAGGGATCATGGGGACATCAAGTGGGAAGGGACCTCAGAGGTCTCGTCATCTGCTCCTTTCATTTTACAGTGAGGAAAGTGAGGCCCAGGAAGAGTAAGATTTGCCCAAAGATGAAAGGAAAAGTCCCTTAATTTCTCTGTATGTGTGTACACACACATACGTACACATAACACACTTCTTTTTTTTGTTTTTTAGGCAATTGGGGTTAAGTGACTTGCTCAGGGTCACACAGCTAGTAAGAGTCAAGTGTTTGGTCTGAGGCCAGATTTGAACTCAGGTCTTCCTGACTTCAGGGCCAGTGCTCTATCCACTGCGCCACCTAGCTGCCCCACACATACACACGTTTTAAAGCAACCCGATGTGAACCATCCCAGACAAGGAATTTGGCCTATTTTATAGAGATTTACACATTTCTGTGCGACCACAGGTAAGTCACTTTCCTTGGCCTCCATTTTCCCCTTTATAAAATGAACCTAAAGTCTCTCCCAGCTCAGATGCCCTATGAGCCGAGACCTGATGGACTCTTCATATAGAGCGTTGGAAGAGAAAACATTTTAGTGTTTGTAGGCTTGCTATCCAGAGCGACTGTGAGATAAGAGGCAATCATTAACTTTTTACTTCTCCAAGCCTCAGTTTCTTCATCTGTAAAATGGAGCTTAAAGCCAAAGGGTCTTCTGGAAGGGGATTGAAGATAGTTATCAATATTGTCTGTCACTAACCACCACCAGGCTCACTGAGCTCTGGGGAACAAAAAGAAAGGCGAAAGACTGTCCCTGCCCTCAAGGAGCTTACAGTCTAATGAGGGAGACAACAAGCAAACATGCTATATACAGGATAAATAGGAAATAATTCAAGAGAGGGAAGGCACTAGGATTAAGAAGGATTGGGAAAAGTTTCCTGTAGGTGGGATTTTAGTGGGGACTTCAAGGAAGCCAAGGAAGGCAGTAGGCAGGGATGAGGAGGGTGGGCGTTCTAGACATGGGGGACAGCCAGAGAGAATGCCTGGAGCTGAGAGATGGAGCATCCATGGAATAGTCTGGAGGACAGTGTCACTGGACTCAAGAGTATGGAGGTAGGTACTGGATAAAACCAAAGAGAAGAGCGACCCTGGGGTGGGGAAGGAGGGACTCTTCCGCTCAAAGTCAGGGAGTCTTTCTAAGGGTGAAAGTGCCTAGAAGAAAGACTGACTGACCACAGCATGGCAGCCCACTGGACTGACCAGTCTCGAGATGGGAGGAGCTCCCTCTGGAAGGCAAACACCTGCCCAGCCCCTCCCCATAGCAGATACATCAAGCACTGAGTCAACTCTTGCTAATCCGTCCATGTACTTTCCTTGGCTATTTGATTTTTTAAAACCCAAAACTGGTGTTCTTCCTACCATCCAGAATCTGATGGGCCTCCCTCTACCTGTCATTATGTGCCTGGACAAGGCAAACACCTTTTAAGATAAGTCTGAGCTAAACTCAGTTTGAAAAGTAAAACTGCTCTGCAAGAGCTGGGAGAATCCCTCCTGAACATGCCACATCTGCACCAAAGACCGAAAGATCACTGCCCCCCCCATCAGATTATCTTCCTCCCCTTTCCCTCCCTCTTTGATGGGCCATCCTACTTCAGAGAGGATTCCCTCAACCAGCTCGGATAACTGAGCCTATTCTATTCAAAGCTTTCACTTCATGCTCCCACAAGTCAAGAGCTGTAGCTTCTACCTCTATGGTCCCATTCGGGGAGGGGCTTCTCCTTTCGTCCTATGCTTTGTCAGACCCCATCGTTCTGAACAAGAGAGCCTGGAAGACTGGTTCTAGGCGTTGGCCAGCATGGAACCCAGTACGCTAGAGGGTAGGAATTGAGGTCATGGGAGAGGTGCACTTTTCTCCTGTTCATCCTCACTCAGGCGCCCACGTCAACACAAAGATGAGTCAGGGGACAACCCAGGGACTGATCCAAGACTGCCTAGACTTATGCCTTACCACTGGCCAAGACCCCTCCGTCAGCTGTCTGCCAACTGTTTTAACCCACTGGCATTTTCCTTTACCTCTGGCTGTTTGTGCTTGGTTTCTTTAAACATCCCCATTCCTGTTAATGCTCAAAATCCTTGCTAATGTTTTTGTCTATAAATAAAAACCTGAAAAAGCTGCAGCTGGGCTGGGGGCGAGGGCAGTGGGAGTGGGGGTGATGATGAAAATGCTCATCCAGCCACCAAGGGGCCTGCCTTGATTTTGGATAGGAGATACCACACAGCGATGGCGGCAGGAGGGAGGCCAGCTCTGGTTCTCCCGGGGCCCGGACGGTGGGCAGGCAGATGGCCAGACGGACAGCTCTGGCATCCTCTTACCTTAATGGTTTTCGTCTGGAGTCGGAGTCCATTTAAAGTGTTAATGGCTTTCTCTGCATCCTTCGGGTCAATATAGTTGACAAATCCATACCCTAAACTCTGTCCTGTTGAAACAATAAAGACAGAAGAGAACTTAGAATGTTCAGAGAGAAAGGCAAGGCTCCCAGGATCGGGAGCACATGAGCACACCCATTACTGCAGACCACTGCCATGGCCAACTGTGACGGCAAACATGAAGGTTTCCAAAAACGTTCTCCATTATGCCTTTAACTGAGGGAATGATACTACAATACCACAATATATACACAGTACAACAGTGAACTGAAAGACCAGACATCACTGTCTTCCACATGCAAGATGGAAGGCACCACCATGGGCTGGTCTCACTGGCTATATGAGTTCATGGCCCAATCAACAGAGAATCCTGAAAACAGGAAGGCCAGTCAAAAGATCATGGCTTTAGGGATGGAAAGGTCACCATCGAGTACAACCCTCTCATAATAAGCTGAGCTCACTAGGACCCAGAGTCATGCCTAATGTTACAAAGCATTCGAATTGTCAAAGGTGGTATTTGAACCCAGATCCACTGATTCTGGATTCAGTGTCCCTTCCAGTGTGGGGCCTCAATAAGTTTACTGCTAGAATTTGAAGCAGCTGCCAGGTAACCTCAGTCTGGACACTCCCCCAAAAGAAAATCCCCCTCCCCCAAAATAGTTTTTCCACCAGAATCAACTAGTGAGATCGCAGTACAAAGGCAGAAGTGAAAGACGTTTGTAATGAGGGGTTTGGCTGCTCTATAAGGAGACGGGGGCAATGTGTCTAAAAAGAAATGAGAGGAAACAATGGTGGGGTTCCTGATTAAGAAAAGCCACCACCATCACCACCACCAAAACAGGCAACCGCTCCAAACCCAATAATGTGCTTGCAACCATGCTAATGCTTATAAATAGTCCATCAGCTCTCTCCGCCATGTGTCATCAGCTAAAAATATCACTCGGAAACTTTACGTCTTTGACATTCCCTCCCTTTCAGCAGCATGGCTGCGGGACAGCCACACGAACTCGCCTGAGTGTCCAGGCACTGTGGGCGTCAGGCAGGGCCGCCATGAGTGAAATGAAAGGACATCGCACGCCAGGAAAGAAGGGTTATATAAAGCCTCCTTCAGAGTGCCAGTGACGCTGATGGGAGACCAAACAGCATGCCACTGCTGCTTGACGAGAGCCCGTTTCAGCAGCCAAAATCAGCTCAACAGCTTCTGTTTTGCTGGTAAATGTCTGTGTTGATATTGGTAGTAGGAGGGGACCCTAGGAAACAACTGGGTTTGTATCATGAGATTTTTTTTTAAAAAATGTAATCTAATTTAAAAATCAATTTTTTAAAAATGCTGGAGAAAGATACCTGTCCATACATTCAAGAACGTATCAAGTTACATAAGCGTCAGACCACCTCTCTGCAACATTTACACACACACACACATGCACACACGCACACACATATATATGTATGTGCATGTGTATATGTATATATTTTATAGATCACACACATATATATCATGAAGAGATACATATACACACATCAATCTATCAGTTAAACTCGCCCCTTGCCCCCATCTCCCCCCTTTCCCTCTCCCTCCTCACTCTGACTTTGAAAGAATATGGTGGTATATGCAACCTGCTAAGCCTATCTTTCATTAGATAGATTAAGGAGGGGGATGCTGGAGGTGACATGGGACAGGATATTATCCACAACCATGTGGCATCAAGCACTCCCACCACGTATCATTCACTCCATATTGCCAGTGAATAGTGAGGGCTATGCCCTTGTCAATTACACAATTCTCGCTCACTTCCAAAGCCTTCTCTGGCTCCATTTCGAAAAGTACAAGAGCAAGGCCTGAATGTCTTTGGTTTTAAAACATCAGTTTCTTCTCATTTTTTCTGGGCTTTATGCAGCCAGATTACATCAATCTAATTAAATACACTTATATCCTGCAATTTTCTCATTTAACTTTACCTTGAAGACAACAGAAGCCATTTAAAAAAAGAGAATCGTGTACCAAAACACTTTTTATCGTCTTTTCTATTTAAACCCATGCTTCCTTTCAGTGACTAAGTGCTTACAGACAGTTCCAGACACAACGTGTCGCTATTTTAAATGGCATCCAGGTTATTATCCTTTACTTCCATTGAGCTCCTCTGAAGCACACGCTTCTCAGTAGGTCACATTCACCCAATGTATCGACCTCAGAAAGGTGACCAGGTCTACAGCTAGCACTTCTGGCCCAATTCAAAGAGAGAAGGAGGAAGAGGGAGAGACAGAATAGGAGGAAGGGAGCAGGAGAGGGAGGGAGGGAAAGGGAGAGGGAGAGAGAATATCATAAAATCAGAAGATGGAGCCAGGAATCCTTGGCCACTTAAAAACAAAAACAAAAACAAAATAATAGCTAACATTTACATAGTGCTCAAAGGTTTCTGAAGCGCTTTATTAATACCCACAACACAACTGCCTCTTTCTGAAATTCCTCCTGACTTACCTTTAACACATGAAAGAAGTGACAATTTGTTCCCTCCTGACACGCAGCCCCCAGTGAGAATTTATGTAGGAGAATTCCTAACAAGGGAAGTGGTGTCTGTTTCTGGGGAAGACAGGAGCCTATCTAAAATTAGGCAGACATCCACGGAGATTAAAAATACACCTCACTTTTCAAGTTCTTATAGAAGGTCAATCACCCATATGCTCTTAGGTGGGGACCATCTGATGCCCCTAAGATGGAAAGCATACAGAAGCAAAAGACCTTTAGGGGCAGGGAAATCAGAAATTTGTACACCTGCCTCCCACATCCACATTCCTTGGGATCCTCCCTGATGGTCAAGCAGGGATGCCTGGTGACTACTGGTTGCCATATGATTGACTGGTCTGCCCCTTCCATGAAGACCCCAGGGCTGCCCTGAAGCTGAGAAGTCAGTGTTTCAGGAGGAAACACCAAGAAAAGGCTGCCACCTGCCATCAAACAGAGGCATATGACAGGTACCCACCCATGGCCCCAACATAATATCACCAAGCAAGCTGACAGCAGACCATTTACCGAAGGAAAAACCCAATTTACTAGACATTCAAGAGAGGGGGCGGGGTGGAGCGTAGGATATGGAAAACATGAGGAAAATCCAACTCTGGGCACATCTGACTGGTGAATTCTTCTGCCCCAATCATCAGAACTTCCAGCTAAATCACTCAAAAACCATGCCAGCACTGAATTGTGCTCCTTCCAAATTGTGCTCCAGAGCATCAAAGCCCTAGGAAGAGAAATTTTTCACTCCCTTTTTAATTAATTAATTAATTAATTTTTAGTTTTCAACATTCACTTCCACAAGATTTTGAGTTCCAAATTTTCACCCCATCTCTCCCCTCCCCCACCCCAACTGCATGCATTCTGAATACCCCGTCCCCCAATCTGTAATTTTTCACTTCTTTAAAGGGTAAGGATATGGCTTCTGCAAATGTGGTTCCAAACCTGGATACACAAAGAAAATTCACATGATCCACTCAAGTATCCAGAGTAACTCTGGTTGCTCAGGGTAACCTGAGAAGGTCTGGGCTGGGACATCCCACTGCTTAGTGTAGAGTAGAGCGAGCTGGGTTATAATGAGCATAGGCTCGTACATATGTGTTTGTCTGCATTTTAGAGCTGGATAAAAAGGTTCTTTAATCATTAATTCATTTTCCCCCTTGCTTTAAAGCAACTGACCTATTACTACACATTCAATCGACAATCAAAAGGCATTTAAAAGCATCTACTATGTATCAAATGCTGGGCTAAGCTCTGGAAACACAAAGAATAGCAAAAGCAGGCCCTGCCCTCAGGGAGCTCATGGTCCAAGGACACAACAACTAGGCATAAACAAGACATATCCATGTTAAAGAGGGGCTCCAAGGGAAAGGTCCTAGCAGTTGGAGGGGCCCAGAAGTCCTACTGAAGGTGGGATTTGAAGCTGAGTATTGAAGGAGGAGAGGTGGGGGGGAAAGCACTCCAGGCATGGAGAACAGGCCATGCAAAGGCCTGGTGATGGGAAATGGAGGGTGGTATGCTAGGAACAGTAAGGAGCGCGATACAGACCGACTACAGAGTGTGAGAGAAGACAGGGAAGACAGCTTTGCAAGGCAAAGAGAACGCTTTAAATTGCATCCGAGAGGGGACAGGAAGTACCAGTGGGGCTCATCAGGGGGAGTGCGCCATACACCAACACAGAAAAGCCAGGCGCCCCGAGTCAGCTTTTTCACGGGGCCATCCTGCCCACCTCGCTCTTTATTTCTCCTCTCTCTTTCAAGCTCCTGAGGCCAGGCCAGATGGGCACCTACTGTGGATGAAAACATCTAAGTGCAGTGAGGCCCTTTGGTGGATGGAAGAATCCCTGGCTCAGGCTGAAATTCTGCACCTCCAGGCAAAATGACAAAATCCCTGGGCAGTGAACACCTGACCATGTGGGTGTGAATGATCCGCTCACAGCCTGCTCAGTCCCTCTGCCGTTAGCCAGGCTAGGGGAAAACACTGATAAATTCACCCAAACAGACCTGAAATAGAATCGGAGTGGAAAAGATGCTGATAACTGGAGGAAGAAGGGGAGGGAGGCAAACTCTGGGCTAAGGCCTGCTCACTTCCTCCCACTCGCCTAGATGAGGGCGGTCCGACATGGTCCGATCTGTCCAGTCCTGTTCACGTGGTCACCGATGACCTGCTAGGTGGCATCTTTAACTTGCATGTGTTCTTATATGGGAATGAGGTTGTTCCCCCTGACCCCCCATAAAATAAAAGTTCTTTGAGGTGGACAAGGATTGTTTCTACTTTGTCAAGCACAGAGCCTGGCACACAGTAGGAATTTAATAAACGCATATTCATGCACTGAATGACACAAAGCTGGGGAAAATGGGTCGAATCAATTAAGATGAAATCGAATAAGGATAAACATAAAGTCTTACAACTTAAATATTTTTAAAAAGCAAGTGAATAATTGTAGGATGGTCAGTCAACAAACACCTATTAATAATACTAACTAACAATGAGGCGGCTAAGCAATGCAGTGGATGGGACGCTGGGCGTGGAATCAGG